CCCCCCCCCCCCCCCCTTTTTTTTTTTCCAGTAAGACCATAGTAAGAAAATCCTTACATTTTATGTTAATTCAAAGTGCTTCCAGTGAGGATAATTCAGATGATGTCACTGTGACCAATAAGATTAAAACCAGATGAATTAGAGCATCTATAAATAGAAGAACATTCCTACCTTCTAAATTTTTTTCTTTCAGCTTCCAAGATGTTTTAGACTGGCTTGATTCCCTTCGTATGCTTCATTGTAAGATCTACCAGCCCTTTTAACAGCTATTACTTCAGTCAAATATTTTCTTTACCGGGCTGATGCCTGCCTTTACAAAGCAAGTTCGCTGTGTCTTTTATTCATACCCTCTTTTTAAATAGCTACAGTTTCCATAGTCTATAAAACACACTAGCTATATAATATGACAAAACAAGGGTAGAATTCTGGTGTTGCAGTAGTCTATTTTGTAGGCAATATGCTATTTAGGTGGATATACTCCATTAAAAAGTACTGGCTTTATGTTAGTTACCAATGTAGAACTGTAGTGTTTCAGGGTTGTATGAGTCTTCTGCAGTCTAAGGATGGGGTTTTTTGGTGTTCTGGTTTGAGTTTGGATGTGTCCAATCATGCAGGCTTCCTCAAGGACAACCTCAGTTCTGTGAAAAAGCACAAAGGACAACCTGGGTTTTGTTATGTCTCTAATACTGTGTCTAATTTTCCAGAATGCTAGCATAATAATATTCTAGGAGAACTAAAAATTACAGAAAAGATTTGGGGCTGGACAATTGTTTAAGTGTAGACATTGTGCAGAGGGAACTCACAGGATACATACATTCCTCATTGTACTGAGTTCATTCCTGGTATTATTTCTGCATAGATTTTCAGAAGAACTGTTTTCTATACTTAAAAAAAAAAAATCAGTATTCCAACTTGGCCTCAACAGAGAAAGCCTGTCTTGGACCCTTTTCTCTTTAAGGTTTTGGTTACAGAAGTTGTTGAACACTACTGACATCCTTGAGCTATACCAAGGCAGAATTTCTTTGCTACCACTGCAGCAACTCCTGTACTTCAGGTTATGAACACGCATCAGTGATCCACCAGATAAGGTCAGAGATCTGGGAATCTTACAGGATTGACTGCTGTAGAATAACCCAAAAGCCATTAATCTTGAAAGAAAAATGACATTGATTTCAGTACTTTTGGTCTACTGTGTCTTTGAATATTTGAGAGCAAACCACCTGGTTTAAGCTCTTGCACCATCTTCAGACTGTTTTTGTTCTGACTCTGGTAGAAGACATTTGCTGGAGCTGTATTATTTGATGTTTCAGTTCATCTACTTACATAGCTTTGCTTTGGGAATTCAATATAGTTTCCATATCTTCTGTGGTATCAAAATTTACATTTCAAATAGCATAAATAACTTGTGGAATTTCCAGTGTGAGTGACTACTAACAAGGGAAATACTTCAGAATGACATTAATGAGCATCTCACCTGCTTTTTGCAGGATTTCTTTCTCTTGAAGTGTATTTCTCTCTTTGACTACACTTAGATCTTCCTCCACCTTTTTCACTATACCTTTTGATCCCAGAATTTCTTGTTGTGTTCCCTTAAGCTACACTTCCAAATCTTAAAATATGCATGATGTTACTTCTACATTTATTACATATGTTCTTTTTTTTTTTAATCTGAAATAAATGGTCATTTTCTGTCTTGGCACAGTTCCATGATATAAATCTTTCACCTACAGAGATGGTTTAAATGCATTTTTTGCTGTTCCATTCCCTTAAACTGTCTCTGCTGCCGGAACATTTCTAATGTGGAGCCATTCCCTCAGATGTAGGCATTACTGTAAAGTGAACACTCATCAAGAGTTACCATCTAAAAGATGTCTGAGATTGTGAATGTTGAGTAAAACCTCATGAGTTAAAACTAACTTGTATTTAACACACTCTGTAGCTGAAAACCTAAGGGGAAGCTTATTTCTTTTACATGTGGCATATGCCAAAATTCTTCCAAAACTAGACTGAACAGATCAGACTTACATGACTTGTCATCCTTTGTATTCTCTCTTCCACAGCAATAATAATAAATGTGCACTAATGTGATGCCTTTCATCTAAAGGTCTCAAACATCTTGGCATACACTAAGGAGAAAACAGGAAATTCATCTTGCTTAAACATCAGTCCTTTTATATTTCATGCCTTATAATAGCTTTTCTTGATAGCATTTACTAATGATCAGAGGTATTGCTGATTAAAGAAATGTTTCTGTTTCCCAGTTTGGCACTGTCCACAGAATTCTGAAAAAACCCTGCGGTATTTAATGGTGGCATAAGAAATAGCCAATTTAGAAGGAAGAAATTTCTACTTTTAAATTTAAACTGGAAAGAAGCAGAAAATAAGACAGTGTATAACTGTTTTCCTTCTTCCAGATTTATCCTAGTCTGAGGCTATCTTTTTAAAGAATCAAGGCAATCACCCCAGTGGTATGTAAATCAGCCTCATTCTATAGACTTAGAGGATCTGAAATGTACAAGGTGAGCATATGTTCCTCAGAAAATATTTCAGTTTTATCACACTGATGCTGAATTTAGAAATTCTATTGCTAATGACACCACATTCTTATTCCCAGTTCCTATCATGTTTTACATTATTTATTCGTAAAAGACTTCATTTCTTATACAGTAAGTCAGAACAGTAAACCACGTGCATAAATTCTCATGCCTCCATTCCTCATTTCTCCTGAATGTTACTTGAAGTACCCACAAGAAATCAGGACCTTACTTTCCCTCTTCCCCTCTATCGCTTCAAACTTCTACAGAACGAGGACCCTTTTCCTTACTAAAACAGAAATTACAGATTTCCCTGACTCAATTTTTTAAAACTGCTTATCTGCACCTCTGTTATTCATTATACCCTCTCAATTTTTCTATAGAAGATAGAGGTTGTTCTGCTCAGATCTACACACAGAGAATGGAGTCTGATTAATGCTGGAGAAGACACAGTCAATTCACCCTCTGATCCTGTGAAACAAAAGGCAGCAATTGTATTGAAGTCTGAACTCCCTCAAAGAACATCCTCAAAGAGGCTCAGAACTCTGCACCATCAGCAAAATGATACTGACAGGGAAGATGTTAGGGCAGATGGTGAAAAGGGTCAGAGTTGTCTTGGAGGAACACAGGTGACTGGGGTGACCCTGCTGTCTACAAAATTCTGGGGTTCTCTGACTCTAAAGGAGATAAATCTTCTTTCCTATTAGGAAACAATTATAGTAATTCTGAGATACTCCAAGTCTAGACCTTCAAGGTGTTTTCTTATCTAATATGCACAACTGCTGTCATATGGTTGGGGACAGGTCTGATAGGTGAGTTTATGTTGTGGGAAGGACCAATAGTATTAGAAGGAAGTGGAACTGTTGAGCACAGAACAAGGCTGGGTGCTTTGGCTTCAGCGCAGTTCATCAGTGTCTGTCCCACACCCTGACCTTATGTACTAAATGCAGCTGGATGGCAGATTGCCCATGATGTGCCAACCTCTGAAACAGCATCTGACACATGATGCAACTAAGCAGAAAGGGGCTGCAGAGCTGAGCTGTGCTGTAAATGTACGAGACACACACCAACTAGGATAGACAGGCAGTGTGAGGTGAGGACTAAGGGTAAAAGTCTCATGACTCAGCACATAAAGCTTCACAGGTGTAAAAGACACTTCATTAAATGTCAGTACAAGCCACTGTTGCAAGGGTCATACAAGTCACGCAATTCCTAACCTGCCAGCTCAGGTCTCTTATCTAACCGTGTTCATATCCATGCACTCTGATGTTGGCAACCACAGGGGAAAAGGAGAATGTACTCTGTAAGTACTCATTCCTAGCATCAGTGCCTGCTTGCTGTTCACATTTCTGGGCTGGAAAGGTAAACCTCTGTTCAGTCAACAGACATATTTTACCTCACTCCTCCCTCAGCAAATACAAAGTCTAGTGTTCAGAGTTTTCCTAATGAGAACTCCTAATCACCTTAACTCTTTCTTTAAAACTCTCAGCACTATATCCCTTCTATTTCTTCTCTAAGCCTCTAAAACTGCTTTAGTGGTTACAAAGTATTTGACTCAATATGATACTTAAGACCCCTCCTCCCCATGAAGAACTGATAATTTGCACTTTATTTATAAACAGAGATAGGATTGCAGTCTCATATTCTACCTGAATTCTCTCCTTCAGCTTCTGGGAATGCTTCTTCCTCTCATTTATCTTCTGGCTTTTCTCCTCCAGGTCTGCCTCCAGCTTCTTTACCTGCTGCAGAAAAAAACCTTCCTCAGCCTCTGAGCTTTTCCTTTGCTCCATTTCTCTTTGCTGACAATTCTTTGTTTCTTTCCCAGATTGCTGCATATCATTTTTTAAACCCTCTTTTTCTCTCTCATAAGAAGCCTGCAGTTTGCTTGTTTTCTGAGCATATTCTTCAGTTGCTCTCTGGTTCTCTCTCTTCAGGTTTTTCATTTCATTTATTAGAGCTTGTCCTTCCACATCGTATTTTTTCTCTAAAATTACTTTTTTATCTAAATTTGTTCTTCTAGATGCTTTGCATTCATTTAGCAGTCCATCAGACTGCTGATTTAAATGTAGAAGCTTGTTTTCAAAGTCTGCATTTGTATCTACCATGTTTGTAGAAAGGACTGTCTGTGCTTGTTTTGCTTCTGTTTTGGGCTCCCTCTCTTCCACCTGTTTCTTGCACAATATTAACTCTGCCAAGGCTTCTTCCTTTAGCCTCCTGTGGTGTTCTACTGTAATTTCAAGGGCCTGAATACGTTTCCTCAGCACTTGTTCTTCTTCAGCTTTGCTTTTACACTGGAGAATTGTTTCCCTTGTCTCAGCAAGAATGTGCTGAATTTCTTCTTCATGAGCCTCTCTCAGAGCCTGTATACTAGCCTCATGTTCATCTTTCTTAGTGTTCAGGGCATATATCACCTATAAAACAAGAAAAAGAATAGGAAATTAACGTATCTAGTAAATGACTCATGAATTCAGTTACTATATTTATCAAGGTGTTATATGCTAAAAGAAGATTACTGCTACTGTTTAATCTTTTTTGGTTGCTGTTTCTTTGTGGTGTTAGGTTTTTTCACTAGGAACAGAAGGGACAATTATAAACCACAACAACTTACAGAGAAGGAAGAAAATACTGTAAGAAACAACATTTTCACTTTTTGTCAGAAATTTCCTTTGTTATTCTTGGCAAGTTGTCACTTCATGCCCCTAGCTTTATTTTTGATACAAGGAATGAAATAGGGCCCCTTCTCTACCTAACTGACTGTGTATTTGTAGTCCAGTTCACCTAGCCTTCAGTGCAGGACGACTGCCTGCCCCGTTACCTTTAGCATTTGTATGTGCTGGGGACTAGCTGTAACAGATCTGTAGAGTAAAACCTGAAGTCCTGACATCCAGTTCATGTGAACGAAAACCACTCTGTGATCTAAATGAAAGGAAAGTTTATAAGGAGGATTACATTTTGCACTCCTGACTCAACTGACACACCACTGAAGATGCACTCCTGGAAGCCATATGCCTGGCAAGTTAGCTTGGTCAGCATTTCAAGATAGGTATTGACTGCAGTCGGCTTCTGGCTTTATTCTGAGAAGTGTTCAGGCAGTAGGGTTTTTTTACTCACTTCAGTAGCATCTATTAATCTCAGAAATCAGGTTTTAGCAGATTCAAGCAAGCTTCTGATGACAAAAAGCAGTTTTTTAAAACAATTTCTTTAAACTTTTGGATGTTTTATTTTCTTCTACAAAATGCAGAATTCTCATGACTATAAGACAAATTACTCCAAGCAGACTTCTGTCCATAACTCATGACATACACCAAAGACCTCTCACAGAAGTTGTTGTACAAGCACACTGCTATAGTTTCAAAAAGAAAATGCTATGAGAAGCCCATAGTAGATTGAAATGAAGAATTCAGAGTCAAAACTGGTAGACATGCATATTAAGCTTACAAGACAGTCTAATTGCAAAACATAGTAACTGCCTTGAAAAGACACATGCTTGTCTTTTCAAGCCCCCATTGGGTCACAGGGGGCCTAATGCAGTTTTTACTGGGCAGTTATCTAACTCAAGGGGAACATCGCCCTGTGTATTAACGTATGCATGGAGGTTTTCCACTTGTTTGGTTGGTTGGGGTTTTTTTTGGAGAGAACTTACTGTTCTACAAACCTAAGTTTGGAATTTGTATACAAGTTATGACAGATACTTTCAGTCTGGCCTGAGCTCACAGAGGTTAATGAAAAGATTTCTAGACAATGTTTGAGAAAGTAATAGTCTTAAGTACATAAATAAATACAGAAGCAAGGTCACAACTTATTCTTTAAGTAAACTAGAATTTTGGCCCTGTAATCGTCAATATTTCCTCAGGGAAAGCCTCAATTGAGAGACTAATAGGTGTCTTGACAACAATAAGCATCACAAGTCTGTAGTCTGTGTTGTATAAGCCTTGAGGATGTCTCTGGAATTATTGAAATTGCTTGGCTATGTCTAACCATTTTTTTGTGGTATCTGTATATGAATAACATATTGAATTTCACTCATCCATAAATTAAAGCAAACAAACAAATATATCTCCTGTGTAGTTAACTTCTCCCTGGCAGTAAAGAATTAAGTACAGAAATCTTAAAAAGTCACAAACGCAAAACATGGCCTGGGTGCATTTCTGGATAAATACGTGAAAAAAGAGAGTAACAGCATCATACTCCAGAAGACAAGCAGACAAGAAGTCATTGGCTACATTTAGATATGTATAGTTTCAGCCCTTAGATTACATGTTGTTAATTCTTCTCTGTTATTTTAAACTATTTTTCCTTTGAAACACAAATAGTTGCAGGATACTGAGCCGATTCCTTATTACCATAACTAAAATAATTCTATAAACCTTTCTTAATGAGACAGACATAAAAACTACGAGGAGAACACTAGTTTTGCCCATGGGTTTAGAGTAACTGGTAGTTTGGGCAACACTTCAGTTAAGTAGGTCAGATGTTGATGATCACATTTCTATGTTTCATTCCATCAGCAAAAAGAATATCTATCCTTTGTGACTCAAAGACTTCCACTCTTAATGACTAATTTATCTAGTAAATCAGCACTGCCTGTCTCATGTTGTGTTCAGGCTGATGGTGGAATTTGGGTTCCTCTTAAGTCTGACTTAATCATAGAGATTTCCCCAATTCCATTGAGCATTAGACCATCATCAACATCTTAAGTGAGTTATTTTAAAGAATGGAAAAAGCTGGCCTCCACACTCTATCTATTATTCCTACACTTCTTTTCAATAGTGGCTAGAACCACAATGAAGAATTTTGACTTGAAAATGCATGCCCTTAAATTTAATCTTCAAGCTTGAGTGCTGAAACTGATTCCTCAGTATCTTAACCTTCTTAAGAGATTTAATTTTTAGAGGGCAGCTTCTCTGTACTTTATGAAATTTAAGCCTCTCACACATGCCTTTCACTCCCAACTGAATATAGCTACTATATCCTATTCCACATCCTCATTGAAGAGACTGGAGTTATGTGAGATGAATCTGTGATTTTATGGGCTGGAAAGAAAAACACTGAAAAATTATTTCAGCATCTGTACAAGTGTATATACTGCTGGCTAATGAGGTATAAACCTCTGAACAGGTGTGTTGATAAACAGCTTTTTAAAAGCAGCTCTGAAATGGATCAGTTTTACAATACAGAATTGCTTTCAAATGAAAAGAGTACTACATTACTCTTTCAGTTACTAACATAACACCAATGGCTACTGCCTCCTTACAGTTCTTCAAAACTGAATGTATTGGGAAACACTGTACTGATTTTACAGCAACTGAGATTTATGAGAGGTCGGTAAAAACACTATTACACACATATACACATGAACATAGTGCAGTGAATATGAATACATCTTGTTAGTCCTATTTTATCCCCCAAATGATGTAAATTTAAATGGCATTTACCTTCTCCTTTTCATTATGGTGATGTAAAATAAAAAAAGAAAATACTCAACTGCACCTCATCAGTGAAGGCAAAGCTAAAGCATTAAAACAAAAAAAGATCGTTCTGTCTTCCTACAGTAGTGTTAAACACTTCTCTCGTGGGAACCTGACTATCAATGAAAAAAATGGTTGATTTTACTAGATGAATAAAAAGTTAAGACAGTTTCGTATAGAAGGTGAGGAGTGAGGATAAGAAGAATCAAAGAAAGGAAAATTATCATAAGTGTTCTTCCTTCAGGCTCAAGCTAGCAGGCACAAATCCTTCCTGACTGAGAAGGGCTAAAGGAAAAAAAAAAAATCACTAGAATGAGAAGAGGCCCTTGAGGGGGGTGCCAAACAGGGTACTCCTGGCAGCACCCTAAACAAAGCAGGGAAGAAGACAAGTTTCAATTGCTACTTGGCTTGCTAGAGGCTCACTGAGGCCAGCTGACTGCATTAGCTCCTTTTCCCTGGTAACAGTATATCTTATCTTCACTAGCAGGTGAATTTGTTTGTATTAATTCTGTCTTGTCTACTTCCCAAGCAGACCAAAACAGAGTGAGCTATCTAAACATATCAGTCTTAAAATGGTCTCTTTTAAAGTAAAGGACAGAGAAATTATTAAAATTAAGCTCTGTACCTATTAGCCTCTTCTGTCACTGTAACTATACAGATTAGAAAATAAAAACAGCTCCTGTAATTTACTAATTAATAAGTATGTTTTGTTCTGAATAAGGAAGAATATCTTTTAATTAAGGTACAGGCCTAGGCTATGATTAGCTACAGTGCTGATCCAATTTTACACCTATGCTGATTTCAACTGAAGGAGATCACTGTAACATATGATGAGGCACCTCATAAATTGTCTTATATTTCTCCTTGTATCCTCTGTGGCTTCCTGAAAGCACAAAAATAATTTGATGCATCCAAATTGTTGCACCAACTGTTGATAACATTACCCATTTATGTCTTTATATGAGAGAAGCCTTAAAAAAATTGGCATTCCAAACATCCAGAAGTGTTTCAGAAGCTAAAATTACAAAAGTATCTTTAAAATCACATGGAATTTTGTAGGGTTTTTTTTCAATTTGCCTTATGATTTTTTAGTCTTCCAGTGGCCTATGTATTGCACTTGATGTTTAAAGTGTGATCAAACATAAAATTAGCCCTGGACTAAATTTTACTAAAGAGACATCTAGCTGTCCCTCATTTGTATTTTAAAATTTCTAATAAATTAAGCAATATAATTTCCAGGCAACTTAAGAATTGGGAAAATAAAACTATATTGCAAGACTGTTTCCACAAGCAGACCAGGTGCTATAAAAGGCACCAATACCACATCCCAATAATTTCAGCAAAGCAAAAATATACCATAGAATAAAAAAAAGTTAATTTTAGACAGATACTCCTCTGCTGAGAAGCTCACATGCAGTTTATTACTGAAACTTCTTCTGGAACTGTTCTATTATGTCTACTCGACTTTAATCCCCCCTCTTTACACTACTCACAAATCCACCTACTATGACTCTGGTTGTAAGCAGTGCCTCCTCAGCATCTCAAGAAATCTATCTTCCTAGACAGCCGTAGAAATACTAAAGATTCGTCCCATTCTGACATGGAAATTTTGAGAGAAACTGATTCTTCTAAAACACAGCTACCACAGAAGGAGGTCAGAGAAAGCCACTAGTAATTACTGTAAGGAAATGCCAAGAAAAACCCTATAAATTTCACTCTCAGAAGAATTTTTCCTGCATAAGAGAGAAGGGATTCGGCTCATCTAACATCACCCATGTAATCATTACACATCTAATGTAGGTTAGTCAACAGGAAAAGACAGTTGCCTCCAAAGGAAAATGTTTTCCTTTCCAGTACAGGTGTCTAAGTCAGGTAGTAGTGAATTGCTTCAGGTGTCTGACTGGTTGTTTTGTTAATGTTTCTTGTGCTTACCCAACTGTCCA